GTCTGATATGATTGCGAACGACTGCCCTACAGGGTAAGCCATATAAATACACTGATAATTTTGGCATCTCTGCTCCAGAGCAGTAACATAAGGGGCAGCCAGGCATCATTAGTCAAGGTCTTGGATAATGCAAATATAAATTTTTATGAGATGACTCTTTCTCTTCAATATATCTCCCAGTTCTGGTTTTTTTGGCTGCAAAGGAGAAACTTGGATTAAAGGAACTACTGTTGGTTAATGAGATGCTAAAAAAATAATCCTTTCACAGACTGCTTTCACATGAAGGGAAGATGCAGAGGGAGTGGAATGAGGGTTGCTAAGAGCAAAGCCTCACAGGCAAGTTAGTGGAAAGGAGAGAAAAGCTATTTGAGTGTGTAGTTAATGCCCCTTTGAGAGATACTGCTATAGCTCTCCATCTAGAACTAACTGGATAAAACATCTGGCACAGAATGCTTTCCTTCTCAACCAGAGGAATTTAACAACTATGGTTAAAGCCAAAGAAGTAAAATTAAAGACCAGGTTGAAATTAGGAACTCAGCTAAGGGTTGCTAGGTGACAGAAGCCAGGAAGGTTGCTAAGGAAAGGCGTCAGATGTGTTCTGGGCTAAGCAAATGTCAGATTCTCCTGGAAACTTCAGTGGATTCAATCTTTTAAACAACAACAACAAACAAACACAAAAGCGGGAAAGGAAGGGCTAAAAGGCTAAGTAAATACACTCTCAACCATTGTTGGAGTAGGCTAGAATATAAACACTTAAAGGAAAAAAATGAGCAGCAGCCCCTTTAACAGGAATTATCTTATAGGAGACAGACGAAGTGGGTGTTTTGGAAAAAAAAAATCTAACCTAGCCCCTAATTCCCCAATTATTACTCTTAGGTGCCATCTAGCTGACCACAACTCACAAGAGATCTGAACTTTACGCTGTCCTGTACCATCCTCCATATCACTGATATGCTCAAGGCCACTGTCACAATCATGGTGTCAATCCATCCCAGTGAAGGTCTTCCTTTCTTTTCCGGGCCCTCCACCTTTCCCACCTTGATGTCTTTTTCCAATGACTTTCCCTTTCCTAACAACATGCCCAAAATATCAGAGACAAAATTTCACCACCCTTGCCTTTAAGAAGAGTACTGAATCTCCCATGTTGTTGTTCTCTATCAATTTGGAATCAACTCTAGCTCAGATGCAGTTAATCGCACCAGGGGAGACTGCCCATCCTTCTCCCATGGAGCAGCTGGTAGTTTTGAACCACGTGCCTTTGGGATTGCAGCACAGCTTCTTACCACTAGGCCAACAGAGCTCCCTGAATATCCCACAGACTGCCAACAGAACAAATGGAGGAACTCTTAGTGTCATAAAATCAATGTGGAGTCTGGCTTTAAGAAATACAATGAGTGGTTCTGTTGCTGTGTAATGGGAAGTTTCCAGCATCAGTTCCAATCATGACTGAGGCCAACATAGTCACAACATAGTAGAGGATTCCTGGGCAATTATGAAAAACATAACTTGTGGTATTATTATTCCATCTTGCAAACAAACAGTCTCTGCCTGCCTACATTCAAGAATATCCCAGGAATGCCCATTAGCACTATGAGATCAATTCTAACAACACTGCATTACTTTTTGAACTATAACAAGTAGATCTTAGAATTCTACTTCTTCAGATAATTTTGCCTTCTGTCATTTATTCCATCTAAGAGGTCCTGGTTTTCCCTATAGCAGTGAAAAACCCTCCCCTACTTCACAGTGGCTACCTCTCCCTCCTCTGAGCATTTTCACCATATTATGTTTCCAATTAGCTTTATATCAGCCTGCACTTACCTCCAAACATAACAGAATCTCATGCTAGTTTAGATTTATTTTATTTGTAAGCACATAATTAATAAAACTTGAGGAGAAATAGCTTGACAACAGAGGTTTCTCCTTTGGGTGGTGGCACTCATATTTGAATTTTGGCTCAACGTTGTAGCAGCTGCCACTCTTAGAAGGTAGATGGGGCAGTTTGCTCATATAAAGATTTCTAGCCTCAAAAAAAAGTAAAATAAAAAAATATTTCCAGCTTCAGTTATATGATCAGACGGCCCTGTAGGGTCATTCTGTGTCCAAATTGCCTTAGTAGCAGTGAATTTGATTTGTCTAGGATATAGTAATTTACCTTCTAGGATCTGAGAGCAGGATTCTTCATATCCCCAAGACACCCAGTATTGTCCCTTTTATAACGGTCATTTTACACCAAAGACTTATCTCTTATCTGGCTTCCCATTAGGCTGTATGGATCCTGGGGACAGGAATGGCATTCTTCCTGTATTTTATTCTACCTCTAGTGCCCTATATTTGCATTGCATTGGGAAAATCTGCTGTCAGAGACCTCTCCATAGTACTGAAGAGCAATGATGTCAGTCTGGAGACTAAGGTGCACCTGATCCAGGCCATGGTCTTTGCAGTTACTTGTTATGCATCAGAAAGCTGGACAATGACTAGGGATGATAAAAGGAGAATTAGTGCCTTTGAGCTGTGGTGTTGGAGAAGAGTATTGAATATACCATAGACTGCTAAGAGAACAAACAAGTTCATCATAGAGAACGTGAGACCAGTCTGCTCCTTGGAGGTGAGGATTCTGAGGCTTTGTCTGACATACTTTGGACATGTTGTAAGAAGGGACTGGTCCTTGGAGGGAGATATCATGCTTGGGAGGGTGAAGGGACAGCACAAGAGAGGAAGACCGTCAATGAGATGGATTGATTCAAGAACTGGGGTAATGGGAGTAGGTGTATCAGAGACAATAAGTTTGACACAGGGTAGGGTAAGATTCATAGCTGTTGTACATAGGGTCTCTATGAGTCATAAGTGACTAGATGGCACATAACAACAACAACAGTAGTGCCCTGTATGGTAAAAAAATAAGCCAAACTTGTTGCCACAAAGTTGAGTCCAACTCATGGCAGACCACGCACAGCAAAGGAGTACTGCGGTATTGAAAACCTTTCATGACTTACTTTTGGAAATCTATAATCAGAGATCTTTCTTCCAAGGCACTGCTGGGTTGACTTAAACCTTTAACCTCTCACTTAGCACTCTAACGCACCAATCATTTAAGTCACCGAAGGACATGCTATGCCTAGTATAAAGTTCTAAATAGCTGTAGTGCTTCCACTTCTTACTACTGCACCTAGGTGATTATGAAAGAATGTTTGGAATCTTTATGTGAAATTACGTTTTCCATCTCTAATCATTTCTAAATGAAGCCAACCTCAGACACTAAAGAAAAGAAACTGTAAATTCTCCTTACTTAATGCATTCATTATGTTCACAAGACATATTTGGTCTTCTCTTCTGATAAGGAAACATTATCTAAAATTAGTGTTATTTATGCATATATCCACCTGTCTGCACAAAAAAAAGCCCATATGTCTATGGACTTGGCATAGCAGAGCGGCCACAAGGATGGGGAAGGATATGGAAGGTTTAACTCTGGTTTTCATATGGTTTAGTTTCTATGAGTCATAGTCAACTCGATGGCATCTAGGAATAATAACAATATACAAATAACATTTTTCAATTTTTCAGTTGTTGTTAGGTATAGGTATTAGTTAGTGGACATACAGAAATTGAACAGGTCCTAGGAACCTGGTGGCCTAGTGGTAAGAAGCTGCACTGCCGACCCGAAGGCACTCTAGGTCCACTGTCTTCTCTGCAGGAAAAAGATAGGCAGTCTCCTCCTGTGAGATTTACTGCCTCTGAAAACCTGCTGGAGGGTCGGCTATGGGTCGGTTCCAACTCAACAACACATAAACCCAATAAGGATGATTATATTATTAAAGGAGTTATAGAGTTAGGAAGAATTAATGATCACTGCATTATAATGTTAATACAATTTACAATAGCCAAAACCCAGAAGGATTAAATACATAGTGGTGTTTCATACAGTGGAATAATACACAGCAATGTAAATGGACATGCTATTATAAAACCAACAGTGGGACACACACACAGACACACACACACACATACACACATACACACACACCTATTACATGTGCATACCCTACCCAACCTACTTTTTCTTTAGTGATTTTGTTATCTTTTTGTTTATTTGTGTTTGTGTATTCCAGGGACTTACTAGAAGACCACCTACCTTCCATGCACTTTTTGGAGGCTGAAATTCTAACATTTCCTCCAATACTTTCATAACACAAAAGTTTCAGCTTATGAAAGGAGTTTCCTATTATGTGGTGAAAGTCTCCTTCAAAACTCAATGCGTTCAACATTACAGTGGCACAAAGGAAATAAGCCACTGGTCACAGACCAGCCTCCACTGAAGTCTTAATGACTTGATTGGTCAAAAGCTAAGCCAAGTCAGAGATTTTTATCTTTTCCAAGTAGCATGTTAACAACACCTACACAGAGTTGAACGTAAAACTGTTTAAGCGTACTTTGGCACATAATGAACATTATCCCAGTATTGAAACCAACACCGGAATAATACATTTTAATAATGAAAGTTTATTAAAATGTTAAATTGTACAGTTAAGAAGGATGTTGTGGGTGTGTGAGAGAGAGATCTTCTCTCTGGTGCTAATTATTCATAATCTCCCATAACATTTGCATAAGTAGAGAATTCAGCTAATGAAGCATTATATATTCACTGCGTTCAAAACCTATGCTAATTATAATAGTTTGTAAAAAAGTAAAACCCGGCATCTCCTTCCAACTTACTTGGATTCTAAGGAACCATTTCACTGCCAATAAAAATAACAGCCCAATTCAATTAAACGAAGACAGCATCAACTCTATGAGGGCTTTAGATGAAAAGAGGGCTTTAATAATCAGAGATGAGGAAAGTAAATAACATTAATAAAGTCCACTGAAGGAGGGGGAAAGCTAGACCTCATCTCTCTCCCTTTCTCCATAGACGCTGAAGGAATTTTCCAGTAAGATCCCTAGAGTTGGAGAGTGGGCTTCTTTCTATTCCAGCCGGGCCCCAAAGCTCTGTCCCGAACAGGGAGGGCTTGGCACTCTCTGGGCGTCGGTCTGCAGGTCGATGGGAGCCCAGAGCGCCGGCAGCCCTCGTCCTGCAGGGACTTACCAGGAGCGCGCAGCCCAGCAGCTTGTCCATTGCGGTCCCGGGGAAACCTCAGGCGGCGGCGGAGAGCGCTCCGGTGCGTCTGTGCACCCCTTGTGCGCATCTCGTTATATAGCGTCCGGCAACAGGAAGTTTCTTCAGCGGGCCCTTTGATCACTCTTTTCTATGCTCTATGTAACTTAGCACCTTTCTTTTTTAGAAACCCCAGGCTGGCTGTGGGGGGTGGGAGGGGGCTTGGAGAGCTCCAGGGTTAACACTTTCCGAGTCAAAGCGGAAAGGCTCGCCTGGGGCGAGGGGCGGGCTGGGGACGTCAGGGCCCTGGGAGGGGACAAAGCCACCCCCGGCAGAACAAGGCGGCCCCTGTGTCCAAGCCGCCGAGGGTTCCCGCCAGCGGCCGCCTTCTGGCAGCCTGGCCCCGCGGTGGGCGGCCTGGGCCCGGGGAACCCTGTGCGCGCTTGTTTTCGGGCAGCCTGGCCTCCTAGAGCCTGGCTGGCACCTGGGAGCATCTGGACACTTGAGCCTTCTCTGGAGGAGAAAGCTGAGAGTGTCCATCCTCCCGGTTATCTGATTCTTTCTAGGTTCAGAGAGCTTGTGTTGAAGGCTCTGCGTTTAGTCTTTGTGTTGTATCTGCACATTTTGGTGAGTTTGCCATTTGCTTTCTCACTGAGGAAACGGAAAGGATAATGTCAATTACATGTATAGGAAGCTGTGTACACACTTACTGGATTTCTGGCCTGTGTGGATGCCTCTCTAAAGTTATACCACAGCCTCTCGGTCACCAACACCCCTAGAGCCCAGCATAATAGGTTCCAGCCTCACCACCTTGGCCTTGAGGCTCACCTGGCCACTTGACTGATAGCTTCTATGCATTCCTGCTCCTCATGCTGATAGTCAAGGGGTCCCTAAGGTTGCCATCAGAACTTTGGTTTCAGGAGATTTTTTTTTTTCCTTTTAGAACTTTCTAGACTGTCACTGCATAGCTGACCTTTCCAACAGTGCCGTGAAACAGAAGCTAAATATTCACCTTTGTCCTTTCCTTAGATGGCCCTGGTCTTCTCTGCATTAGAGATTAAAGAGCAGAAGGGTCAAGGCTAGAGACTCTTGGGGCGCAAATGTGTCCTCAGGGGACCAGAGCATCTGCTTCTTCAAATGGATGTTGTTCCAAGAGCAGATTAAAGGGGTTCTGTAGACCCAACAAAGTACTTGGTGAAAAAGTGTGTCAGCTCTTCCATTCTGTAAATTAGAGGAAGCAGGTGGTCTTAACCTTATCGTGTCGTCAAGACCTGAATGTAAGAGCATGCCAATATCTTCAGTGAATTAGTCAATGAAGGTTAGTGAGTAGGACACAATGGTAAGTCTTTCAACTTTCGAGTTTTAATTTTGGCATCTACAAATTGAGGTACTATGGTGGTGCCGTGAGACTCAAGTAAATATAAATGTTCGTACTGTAATGTTGAAACACTGTAACATTAAAAGTCACTTTGTTTTCCTAAGTAGTAGTTTTGTATTAAGGAATTTCCTCAAGACACAGTGTTGTTAGTGTTGTTAGTTGCTCAGAGCAACTCCATGTACAACGTAATAAAACAATGTCCACCTCTCCCAGTATTACTAATTTTGTGCCCATTGCTGCAACTGGTGTGTCAACCCATCTCATTGATCGTCTTTTTTTTTTTTTTCTTTTCCTGCTGACCTTCTCTCTAGTTAACCAACTATGATGTCCTGCTCCAGGAATTGATTCCGTCCTGATAACATGTCAAAAGGATGTTTCACCATCCCTGCCTCTAAGGAGCATCCTGGCCACACTCCTTTGAAGACAGATGTGTTCATCCTCCTAACAGTTTATGGTATGTTCAGTATTTTCCACCCAACTATCATTCGAAGGGATTGATTCTTCTTCAGTCTTCCGTTTTCACTGTCCAGGTTCTGAGTGTAAAGGAAAAGAATGAAACCATCACAGCCTGAGTCAGGTGTATCTTATTAGTCCTCAAAGTGATCTCTGTTATTGCAGCAAATTTCCCCATGATCGATGTCTTGACTGCTGCTTCCATAAGCTTTACTTATGGATCTAAGTAAGATGAAAAGTTTGGCAATTTCACTATTTTCTTCATTTATCGTAATGTTACTTACTGATCTAGTTGTGACAATTTATTTTCTTTATGTTAAGGTGTAAATTCATACTGAAGTCTTTGATCTTCATCAGTAACTACTTGAAGTCCTTTTGTTTTCATCAATTAACATAAGTAAGGCTTTGCTATTTTTGTATTGCAGGTTGTTAATAAGTCTTCCTCTAACTCTAATGTTAAGTATAGTCTTTCCCCCTATAGTCCAACTTCTTGTAATATTTGCTCAGCATACAAATTGAGTAAGTATGATGAAAAGAATACAATCTTGATACTTCTAACTTTAAACCACGTTGCCTTGTGGTCTATATACAGGATTCACATGAGCACAATTGACTCTTCTGAAATTTCCATTCTTCAAAATATTAGCTATAATTTCTTATGAATTCTTATAATTTTTTTTCATCATCAGTAAGTACAAGCAATATCTTTCTGGTGTTCTGTACTTTTAGTTAAGATCTAATATCAACAATGTAATTTTTTTGTTCCATAGTTTGTTCAGGATTTAGCTTGAATTTATATTAGTTCTCTGTTGATTGACGACTGCAGTCATTTGTTAACTGGTTTCAGTAAAACCTGACTTGCTGTTAAGTGCCGTCGAGTCACAGGTGACTCATAGCGACCCTGTGAAGGAGAGTCCTCGACGCTTGGGTGATAATAACCATATTGTCCAATACTTTCCACATTCTGTTGGATCACCTTTCTTTGGAATGAGCATAAATGTGGATCTTTTCTATTCATTTAGCTATGCAGCCACTTTGCTAATTTCATGGCATAGATTAAAAAGGAGTGATTTCCGCATTGCATATGCTTGTTGGAACATCTTACCTGGTGTTCAGTCAATTCCTGAAGCCTTGATTTTCAGCAGTGCTTTCAGTACCACTTAGCCTTCTGCCTTTAACATCATCGAGTTAATAGAACTTGATGTTACCTTGTGAAATGGCTAAATATCAACCAGGTTTTCTTGATCAATAACACTGTTTATTCCTTCCATGTTCTTTTGATTTTTCCGGTATCACTTAGTATTTTGTCCACAGAATCCTTCAACACTGCAGGTCAAGCCTTGACTTTTTCTCCATACCTTTGAGCTTGAGATAGGCTAAGCATGCTTTTTCGTTTTAAATTTTTAACTTCGAGCCTTTGCACATTTCATTATAAGACTTCTGATTTCACTCTATGGTTTTAAATCTAGTGTTCTAATACTTTACTTCATTATTTTCTTCACTTCGTTTTACCAATGCTGTGTCTGAAAGCGACTCGATGGCACATAACAACAACAACAACAACATGTCTGAAAGCAAGTTTCAGACTCTTCATGACATGTATTTTGGTGGGTGGTGTGTTTGGGGTTTTGGGTTGTTGTGCTTTGGTTTTTTTCTTTCCTGTCTTTTCAATGACACTTTTTTTTTTTCATGTATAATGTCCTTCATGTCACCTCATAATTTGTCTGATCTTCAGTCATTAATATCTGCTCATCAAATCTATTCTTGAGATGGTCTCTAAATTCAAGTGGGATATATTTAAGTTTGTACTTTGGCTCTTGTGTATTTTTTCATTTGAACAATTAATATGAACATATTAATGGTCTTTTCCACGCTTGACTCCTGGGCTTGTTCTGACTGATGAGTTGAACTTCTCCACACTTTTTTCCCCCCAAATATACTTGATTTATTCCTGTGTGTTAGATCCACATGCGTAGATATCATTTATGATGTTGAAAAATAAGTTATTGCGCTTAGGAAATTCTATTATACAATCATTGCTGGTATTGGTTCAATCACTGATGTGATATTTTCCAGCCACTGATTCTTCTTGCTTCCAACTTTCCCATTCCAGTGACTAGTCATTATCAATGCGCCTTGATTGCATATTTGAGAATATTAGACTAGATGTTGGTAAAAATCTTTATGTTGACACCAGTAATTATTGCATAAATTTGAATGCTGTTCACATTAATTGGTTTTCTTGCGGGCATATGGATAATATTGTATCATAGTATTATACTTCAGGATAGACTTTGGAATGTTCTTTTTGATGATGAATTTAATATTATGACTTTCCTCTTATGATGAGTTTTTTGTCCTCATAGTAGAACATATGTTAGTGTGATTCTAAATGGTCAAAATACCAGTCCAGTTTGGCTCTCTAGTGCCTAGGATATTTATCTTCAAGTATTCCATTTCATTTCTTGTGATTTTTGTTTTTCCTAAATTCATACTTAGACATTCCATGTTCTAATTATTAATGGATAATTTCAGCTGTTCCTTCTTTGAGCTGGACCATATCAGCAGTTGAAGGCCTTGAAAGCTTTAGTCCATGTATACTGTTGAGGTCAACTTTAGTTTGAGAAGACACACTCTCTCCCATTTGGGGTTTGGGTGCTTTCTAACCTGGAGAGACTCCTTCATGTGCTGTTTCAAGCTGTTTCACTGCTGTTCTTCATAAGGATTTCACTGAGGATATTGTTTTTTTATTTAGGAGTTGATTTCCAGATCCTTCTTCTTTGTCTTGGTATAGAAGCTCTGCTAAAGCTTATCCACCATAGATGACCTTACTGGTGCTTGAATAATGATACCATAGCTTCCAGTGTCCTAAAAACATACACGCCACTGCAGTATGCAAACTGACAGACAAGTGGTGGCAAAACATAATTTAGTGCAATATATGGGGAGTTCAACCTTGAAAAAGATACTGTAAGTCTTGATTCTTATAGTATTGATTTTAGAATCAGTATTAAGCTTACTTGTTCAAATTAAAAAGAATTGTGTTATGTGCCATCGAATTGCCTGCAACTCATAGAGAGCCTATGAGCTCTGAACTCTGCTCTATCCTGTGCCAGTCTCACTGTCTCCAATATACCTGCCGCTGTTACCCCAATTACTGTGTCAGTCTTCCTAATCCTGGCTCTTCCTCTCCTACACTGTCCCTCCACACTTCCAAGCATGATGTCCTTCTCCAGGGACTGATCCCTCCTGGCCACATG